GTTCTAGTTCAATTTCAAATTATTTAAAAAACTAACAAATATTTGTTTCTAATAAAAGACATCAAGATATACTATTGTCAAGGGTATACAAGATTCAACTTAGTCGAGTTTCGCACTGTTAGTTGTTTTTAAATATTCTTACAAAATATTTATTTCTTTGAGCTATGCTGCGTATACTTAACGAAAATAATAATCATACGCACCGTTGAAGTTTTTCCCTGTTGATGTTAAAATGTTTGTGAATCGTAAATATAGCAAGATCTAAATACTTATAAAGTCATTGGTATTTTAATACAGAACACAAATATACTTGTGTTCTTACTTTTATTACTTATAAACATAAATTCAACTGCTTATTCTCAAAGTCTATTTCTAAAAAGATCATATACAAAATATGTTTCTATTTTATGTATGAGTGCGAAAATTATTACCAATGTCCCTTTTAGCGACAATATCGTTTATGGCTATTCATTCAATATTTTACCAAACAAGAACAGTGTCAGCTAGAGCAGCCTTTATGACAACAGCTACAAAATAGAATTGAATATTCGAAGGTTTACTAGATATTTCAATAAAATTTAAATATTCGTATATATTATGAGATGAAAGGATGTGAATGAGATATTCAACTTATACAATGTTCATAGTATATGAAGTGACTGAGAACAGGAGGAAACAAAAGAGAAAATAAAACATTATTTATTAAAAAATACACAAAAAAGGGGTTGTTCATATTATTATTATTATTATCGCTGTTGTTGTTGTTGTTTCTGTTATAATAATAGCTGTTGTATATGCATATGAGTCAGTAAGTCACTGAGTCAATAGGTTTTTGTATACATTCATTCACTCTCCCACACACTTATGTACATACAATGACTACATATATTTAATAGGGCGGTACTTTTAAATAGTTGCCAAATTTTAATAGCCGGGAAAAACTTTTCATAACTAGAAAACTTGAAAACCGATTTTTTTTTATTTTTCCAACTTTTAGTTGTTTTAAATATTAATAATTACACTTCTACATTTCACTTTAAGTCTAATTTCTTAAATAAAAGTTGATCGGAATAGAATCAACCCTACTGCATACAATATTTAACCAATGACAAGAAAGTCAGGCTAAAGCTAAAGAAAAAACCAAATATAAATTGAAAAGCATAACTCTTTCATTGTTAGTGTTATTACAGTTATTATTAAAGCTTATTATACGAACTTTTTCTCTTTTTTCGTTCTTATATTGGCAGGGATAAATAATATAAGCTGCTGTGCTGTTGAGATTTTTCATTTTATTATAAATATTTATTATTATTTTATATGTATATTTTTTTTGCCTATTTGCCTTCTTGTGAATTACTTTTTTGTATTTATTTATGAGGCCATTTATGCCATATTTTTTTGTTCGGAATCTTTGCGTAAATAATTTTTATAGACCAAATTTTCACTTTTATCGGTTCTATAATTCAATAGTATTATTTTAATATGTCAGTTGTTGTTAATATATGTTTAAACTTCATAGGTTAACTAAAGCTTAAATATGTGAAAAAAGTAATTATTATAAATATTTTTTTACTTGATTTTTTTTTTGTTTGGAAAGTCAAGAGGATTATTGTTGGTTTTAATAGGATATATGTTTTCTTTTTCTTTTTAATAGGCAGGTTAGCAATGTGTTATTGCATGGTGAAAAATGGGAGGAAAAAATACTATTTATATATTAAAGAGCAATTGTAGGACAACTGTATCGTCTAGGCAGGTTGCGTGCTGAAAGTTTCTGAAAAGTTTGCAAAATCCTATCGACCAATCAGCCTTAGTTCGTTTTTCCTAAAAACAATGGAAATACTGATTGACAGTTTCATTAGAAAGACCTATCCGCTTCACCGCTTTCAATTTGCTTATTAACCTGGCAAAATCAATGGTGACTTCTATACACCAAGTTAGGGAACAGATCGTAAAGTCTCTGGGCTCTAAACAAATAGCACTTTGTGCTTTCATAGACATAAAAGGAGCCTTCGTCATTACGTCATATGGTGCTATAGAACATGGATTACGTAATAAAGGTCTTCTAGCTGTCGTAAGAAACTGGAAATGCTGAAATCCAGAGTCATTGAATTTGATCTATGTGGAAGATCGAGGACCATATGGGCTACCAGAGGCTGTCTTCAGCGAGGCGTACTATCGCCACTGCTGTGGACACTGGTTATCGATAGTCTACTTAAAAAACTCAATGACTTAGGTTTCTGTACATATGGTTACGCAGTCGATCTTGTCATATCCGTGACAGTATCGATATCGGAGCGGATGCAAGAAGCGATCAATCTAACATCCAAATGGTGTCAAAAGAGAAGGTTTACTACTAGGAATATAAAGAAATTGGGGCTTGTCAGTTGGTACCTAAAGGAGTTGACCTAACTCTAAGAATGTATTCGTAGAACTTTTGTATAAGTATTGGAGCTCCAACCACTTTCGCCACTGTTTCCAAACATACACAGTTGCATAAATTCGTACTTAAATTTTTTTGGAAAAATATTTTTTTCGTTTGTTAAAATTAAAACGATTTCGCGTTGTTAAATCCGATATAAATTATAAAAATGTTATAAGTTTATGAAAAAGTGTCTTGCAAGTCCTATAATCCCGATATTTTCGCGAAAAAGTTTTGAAATATTGTGAGAGAAGTAAGTTCTCACAAGTGTGTTGAATTTACACAGAACTCTGTGTCTGTCTGTGAAGAGAAGGAAATGTTATTGTTGTAAAACAATGTCATAGTCCAACTTCTTATTATTCTTTGGCTTACTATCAACCCCTCAAAACCATTCATCTACCATTTACAAGGCGCAGATCTCTGAAACTCATTGAGCCAACATTAAACGGTTCAATGAATGATTAAGTTTTTCGAAGAAGTTAAAAACCTAGGGATTAGTCTTGACAAGATCCTTAATTGGAATTCGCATATATACAGTACTATCAACAAAGCCATCAGAGCATTATACTTATGCCAGTCAAGGGCTGTCCGTTTTAATTTGGCCGAAAATTAATTTCTGGACATTTGATACCATAATAAAGCCCAAATTTACCTACGCCACTTTGGCTTGGTGGCAGAAGGTGGAACAGATCACAACTCGGAGTTCTTTGGACAAGATTTATCATCTCTATAACTGGAGCTACGAGAACTTATCCCACATATACCATGAGTACAATATTGCATATTCCACATCCTTATCAAGGATGAGGCTTGCAGATAAGCAATTCGGCTACCGGGTATTGCCAGCTTGAAATCTGGTGACCTGACTATTCATAAATGACCCGACTGTGGATCAGCAACTATGATTTTCGATGGTTCATTTGAGGTTATTGTACCGAATAGAAACAAACTTGCAAAAGACCGTCCCCTTGGGATACTATCTTTCAATCTTTCAAGCCATCTTTATTTGTGCTAGGAAGTGCGTTAGGAGAAGAACCAAGGGATTAAGAACTTTTATAATATCGGATAGCCAAGCATCACTCAAAGCCTTATTGTCATACGAAGTTAGGTCGAATGTTGTAATGAACTGCTTGACTTCACTCACTGAATTAGGTAAACACCACAAACTTAATTCATGTTAAATACCTGATCATGAGGGTCACTCTGGCAATGAAAGGGCAGACTGCCCTGGGCGCTCATCGCCAACTAATTGGCCCTGAGCCCTTCTTCGGCTTTCTCCAAGAATACGCCAAAGCAAAATGTGACTCTTGGGTGAAATCAGAATTTGCTCGCCAGACAAAACGTTTCATAACAGTATCAAAGGGAAAATACCAAAAACTACTAACGCTCAATAAAAGCAATCTCAGAGTACTAATGGGATTCCTTAATGGTCTTAGGCACCATCAATTCACTCTAGGCAAATCTATAACAAATCTATTCTGTGGCCTAAAAAAGAGAAAACTATAGAACATCTAGTTATATATAGCTAAGATCTTGGGTGCTGCCTTACTAACCAAAGTATAACAAGTAGTCCGACTCTTTGACAGCAGTACCTAACTCTAAGCATGTGTTAGTGAAAAAGTACCTAACTCTAAATATGTGTTGGTAACAAAAATGTATATGTGTTGGTGCATTCTGAACACACAGAGTTTTATAAAAAATTACAATTTTAATTTTGTTTGAATTTTCAATACCAAAAATTGAAACTCTGTTTGTAAAATAAAATTCAACAACAACAAAAATGAAATGTCAATAATTAAAAAAAAATATTTTTTTCCAGTTCAAGCAAATTAAACAAAATTCTTAATAAAAAGAGCTTGAAACTATTTAAAAAAATGCAGTTTTTTTGTGGATAAGTGCAATTTCGCGTACGATGCCTAAAAGTGGCCAAAAAAGTAAGGTGAACATTTGAGTGCTTTGACAAGTTTAATTTTCTCACAAGAGAGCCGTATTCACACGGCACTCGTACATGTGAGAGAGTAATTTCCCATATGTGAGAGTCGGACTACTTGTTATACTTTGTTACTAACCCTAAAAGTCATCTACAATCTCTCACCAACTAAACCAGTTATCTTCATGAACTGAAACTATTATGGTGAATCAACGGGTTGGACAATATCTCTTCAATCTAATTTAATCTAATCTGAAGAACAATTAAATTTATATCCCTACATTCACACCTGTCAAATATTTGAAGAAAAAAACATGACCCCAAAAAATCGATATTTTGACTTTTCTTCAGAAGATTTTTTGTACCTTTTTTTGGCGTATGATTTAAAAGTAATCTGAGTGGCGTACCATGTACTTCACATTAACATAGACAGAGCTTCTTTTTTGGTCGTATTGTTTAAAATATAATCAAAAAAGTAAGATCGTGTTTCATAGGTGAAATCATGAATCAATTTCTAATAATTTTTATATGATTTCTCGATGAGCCAAATAACGACATATCTATAAAATTTATTAAGAATAACATGTTTTCTTTTATAAAAACGTTCCCACTGTATGACATATAGCATATGTCATATACATAAATTTTATCTAGTTTAGTAAAAATTAAAAAAAAAAAATATGTACAAATTTAAGTGCTGTAGCGAAACAGAAAACGAAATCTCTAGAGGGCCTTTACTCTTTTCCCATTTGGACACTTCAACTAACGTTCTAATAAGCGAAACTTTAGATTTGCAGCAAGAATTCTTAAGAAAAACTAAATTTGTAAATGAACAATTTATGAACATTTGTAAAAATGAAAAAGAAATTGTAAATGTTTTCCATATGTTGGAGGTTGTGCAACAACAATTCTTCAAAGTTGAAGAGGAATTAAAGATAGTCGAATGCATGCTACAACAATTCGAAGTCGAGGTGCAACATTTAGAAATTCTAAGTAAAATAAAAACATTTTGTATGAGAAATCCTTGTGTCTGTGGTCATTGTAGCTTTTGTAATTGCAAAACAGAACGTCAAATTTTCCTAGAATTATTAGAAGAAACAAATCGAAAAGTGGAAAAACTACCAACTATTGTAGATGATATCAAAGAGCTGCAGACATATGAAAGATTAAAAAATCCTTATGTGGAAGTAAGTTGATATTGTCAAGGTTGTAGTTTAATAATTTTTTTATATATAATTTTTGATTTTAGATATTTGCCATTTTAAATATGCATTGTAATTTACTTAATAATATTGATAACAATTTAAATATATTAGCAGACAAGTGGGCTTTTATAGAATTATTGCAGAAAAAAAGCAAATAAAAGACAATTACTGTACATTTTATTGAAATTATTTTATCAAAAGAATTTGCCAGAATGCTTAATTAATTTAATTACAAATATTTTTTTTCAATATTTTACCTTTTAGACATTTTTCATGAGATATACCATAATAGACGAACAATTTACTTACCTAGAAAGAAAAAAGAAAGAGAATAAAATTTAATAAATAATTGATATATTTATTATGATTTTATATTTTTATAAAGCTAAATAAATTTTAGAATATTTCAATAGTCTACTTAAGAAATTAAGTAGATTTTTCTTAAAAAAAAGAATTAAAAGAATATTATAATAATTGCATCAATTTAAGTTTATAGTTTATTATGTATAATGAACTTAATATTATGATGATATATATGTATATTTAAACAAATATATATATTTAAGCTTGACATCTATATAATACCCTATAGAGGAAAAGGATTTATTTATTAAGGGTATTATTCATAAACTTCTATCAAAGATTTACAGAACAAATTTTGTAGGAAAATTTGATTTATAAACCTTTAATAAAAGCTTATGAATAAGACTCAAAGGGTCTTATTCATAAACTTTTATCAAAGGTTTATAAATCAAATTTTCCTACAAAATTTGTTCTATAAATCTTTGATAGAAGTTTATGAATAAGATCCTTAATAAATAAATTAATTTTTTATTATGGTAATGGTTGTCTATTTAAACTTTTCAGTAAAACTGTTTTTTTGCCAACAAATGTTGATTTTTTTTAGTTTAACCATATTAATTATAAAATGTCTTAAAAATATTGTGGTTGACCACAAATTTCTTCGACATGTTGTATGGCCTTGATATGCCAGTTTCTTGAAGTTTTTTTGTGTATTTAAAATTTCAAGAAAAAAAAAACCAACAAAACATCTTGTAGACATTACTTATAAATAAAATAAAACAATTTTCAATTGATTTCTATGAAATTTAGAAAATAATTTAATTTTATTTAATAATGACCTACAAAGAAAAAATACGTATATATTAAATAACAAATAAGAATTTATAGTCGGACATGGCCGACCATATGATACCTTACACCAGTGTTAATGTTACACATTTTTAATATTTTTTTAATAATAAAGTATTTAATTAAATTTTTATCTGAATTCAGAAATATTTAAATAATTTTTTGATAAATAATATGGTCCTATCCTTATAAATTTTGGCAGAATGATATACGTCTACATCAGTTATTTGTGCAGAATATCATCGTAATATTAGAGTTTATAACTGAATTTTGACTTTGATTTTCAATAGGCTTCATCCTTGAGTCAAAAGAAGGGTAAGTGCCAAATTTCATCAAGTTATGTTGAAAATTGGGACCTGTAGAGTGCGCACAGACGGACGGATGGACAGATGGACAGACAGACAGACAGACAGACGGACAGACAGACAGACAGACAGACAGACAGACGGACGGACGGACAGACAGGCAGGCAGGCAGACGGACAGATGGACAATCAGACAGACGGACGGACATAGTTGAATCGACTTAGAAAGTGATTCTGAGCCGATTGGTATAATTTAATGAGTCTAGGACTAATATTTTTGGGTGTTACAAACATCAGCACAAAAGTATAATACCCTCCCCACTATAGTGGTGTAGGATATAAAAATTAATATATGTATGTGCAAATATGTATGTATATGTTTGTACTGTTTTTTGGTTAATATAATAACTTTGTTTAATAAATTGTAAAAATTTAATCGTTAACTTATGTTCTAATTTCTATGTATCCCTTACCTATCTCAACCTAAGTCATCAATGATAAAAGTACAAATTAACAAAGTAATTTGTGGTTTATAAATAATTCTTTAATCAATCAAAAACCAAATCAATCCATCACTTAATCAAACATATATAAATAAATTTAAATTTATTTAGAAATTGTTAAAGGTCAATTAGTTATTTTCCATTCTAATTAAGTATTTTAGAGAATTATTTATGAAGTAAAACTTAATTTTAAAACTTTGTGAAATTTATTGAAAAGCTTAATTCTAGATAAAAATATTTATAACACAATTTATAAATGCCATGAATAAAAAGTATTTCAATAAAGGAAGGGTAATTAAAAATGTATTCTTGAATTTGTATTTGACTTAAATATAACGTACAGCCTTGAATATAGCATAAAGTATAGTCTATACTGTTATACATATTATAGTATATACTATTATATTTACTAAAGTCCTGACTTTAGTACATATAAACTGGGGTCTAGAGTTAACTGTATTATAATCTATGGTTTGACTATAGTATTGCCTATGATCTAGTACAGACTACACTATAGATTATGGTCTTGACATATAGTACAGACTATAATTTTAACTATCATATGTATATAGTCCATAATATTGACTATAGTAAGACTATTGTATAAACTATAGCTTAGACTGTTGACAATAGCATATACTTATTATCTTGTCTATAGCATAGATTATACCATTGCTATTGTCTACAGTATAAACAATAGTCCTAACTATAGAATTTGCTATAGAATATACTATTATGGGCTTGTCCATAGCATAGACTATATATAGTCTTGAACATAACATAGAAAGGTCTTGATAATATCTTAGACTGTAGTCTAGACTATAGTATTGACAGTGATCTTGTCTATAGTCGTGACCATAGTTCTCTCTATAGTCTTGACTGTAGTCACAACTATGTCCTTCACTACATTCCTTACTAAGGTACTGCCTATAGGATGAACTAAAGTCGTGACTAGAGAAAATACTATTTTCTTGATTTTATTTCAGACTATAGTTCCCAACTTAGTCTTGACTCTAGTCATGACTATGATCTGGACTTTGTCTAGGATTTATCTTGATTATAGTCCAGGTTAGTCTTGACTGTAGTCTTGAATATAATCTAGACTATATGTCTGACTAAAGTCTTGTCCTATCGACTATATGTCTGACTGTAGTCCTTCAGACTACCGTATTGATTATAGTCCTGACTATAAATAGTCTTATTTAGTCTTATTTATAGTCCTAACTACAGGCTTGGCTATAGTCATATCTGAATATAATCTTGAATATATTTCCGACTACAGCCTTGTCTATAGTTCAGACACAGTCTTAATTATAGTTCTGACTATAGGCTTTGCTATAGTTCTATCTATAGAATACATCACAGTCCTGACTTTAGTTTTATAACAAAGATATAAATTTATAAATTAAAATTAATAATTTTGTTTAAGTACAGTAAATTGCAAAAAACGAACATACAAAAAGAAATCAAATATAGAGTTGAATTCGTTTTTTTTTTAATTTTCCAGTTCAATAAAATATTTACTTTTATTAAAACATGTGGTTTGTGATAAAAGCTGCAAACAAAATTTGCAAACAACAACTAAGTACATAAAGAAAAACCAGAAAACATGAAAATCCCCCCTGGATAAATTGAGCAGAAAAGAAAAAAAGTAGCAAACCATATATCCGAACTCGTAAATACACTCGAACATACATTATTCAATTTACTTTTAAATTAAATGTATGAAAATTTGTAAAATGAACAGAAAAAAGTCATATAATTTGCAACATAAAATTAATCAAGCAAACAGGGTAGAAAAGAAAAAATAATTGTAAATACAAAAAAAAAAAAAAAGAACTTTATAAAAAATAATTTCAAATTACAGTGCATACCTTAAGGCAAGCAATTATTAATTCACAAGTAGCATACATAAGGGATGGAGTAAAGATTTTATATTTAAATACTCAGTATTTTAAACTCTGGCGAATTTAAATAATATTTTAACTTAAGTAAAAATTATTTGCCAAAAGTTAAAGTTTTAATCCTGCTAAATTTTTTGTTTACTATTTACTAACTCAGAAAACCTTTCAATGAAATGCCAACAAAAAATACAATAAATTTATTATTTAAAAGCAAATCCTTTAAGTCCTTAACTCAACAATAGAATACTGTATGGTATGTATAGAAGTAATTTAAGGCGCTTTTTTTGCTACTTTCACTATCTTTTGTCGTATTTTGTCGAAAAGACCAGACGCCATCTTGATGCTGCTCATTTACTGTAGTTTATTTTTCTATTCACGCACTCACCACTCTTCCTTCTGGTTGTTTAGGGGGTCCATTTGTGTTTTTGTATTTACTCTATATCTCCTCTGGCACAGTGTACTATACATATTTTGACATGAAATGTCATAGTGGCTGTCACAAACACTAACCTAAACTCATTTATACTTTGGCTTATTGTATTCTGGTTGTTGCTGCTATCGAAGTTGTTGTCGTTGTTGAAAATATTGTTATTGTCTTGTTGGTACCTACTTTATCCTGGGGATGTATACCCCCTTTTTGCTATATCTTAGCTATTGATGTTGATTAGAAAAATGGCAAAAAATTTAATAGATTTAATTAGAAACTTAATGAAAGAAAATATCATAATTAATTATAAAAAAAGAAGAATATTTCAAGCTTGTGATAAATTTTCATTGTTTTTATTAGAGTTTTTTTGGTTCAAAACGGATTAAATCATCTTTTTTAAAGGATTAATATAATTTGAAAAAGAGGATACTGCAGTTGTTGTATTTTTGAAAACTAACTGTAAGTCTTTTCAATGATGTTGAGAAATAAAATACAAAACTTTGCCCAGAATTAATCATAAACCAACTTTTAAAGTTCACGGATATTCTTGTTAAAAATATTCATTGCTTTCCACATATATGTATAGTTTTTCTTATATACATTTGTTAAATATATAAATTCAATTTATTGTAAACAGATTTCTTTCCTTCTTTTTCTTCTAAGATTCTTAAACAGTCAAAGTTCTCTGGGAGCAATGTATTCGGTCTTGTTTTATGTCTTTTATTATTTCTTTACTGTTTTCCCCTTTAACTATGCTTTAAGAAAATTGTTTTATAACATATCTTTCTCAACTCGCACTCATCTTCAATTCGCAGCAACAACAGACAACAAGGATGTCATTGCTCTTGTTGTTGTCAGAGCTGCTGATGTTTGTTTGTATTGTCTGTAGTTATCTTGTGTGTGGGGCTTAATTCTGTATGATTTTTCTTAGCAAAAAAATTATTTATTAAAAAAAGGCCTTTGCTTTCAGAGGGCCTTGTTTGTGAATAATCTATAAGATCCATTCAAAAAACTATTTC